AGATGACGTTTTGAAAATTGAAGTATTGCACAAAAACTTCACCAAACCATAAATTCAGACTTTCTAGAGGAATCTCTTACCAATACGAATGACTCAATGAACTCAAGATCCTCGTTGCAATCGTTGAGCAATTCTTCACTTTCTTCAGGTGACATTGCTGGTTGGCGGTCAAGAAACAAAGCTGTTAGGTCGGTACGCATCATATTGTCGCGCTTGACAAGAACCTAGATGGATCCTAGTTATTGATTATAAAGAACATAGGAATTACTGAAAACAAAAAGCAGCAAACTAGCCGAACTGTTGAAATATCTACCTTGAGATCTGGAACGCGGCTTACGGATTCTGAGGTACGAGTGAAGTCAACGGGTACGATATCATCCCAGCCAGCAAATTTCGATCGGAACATCATGGACTCCTCATCCTACAATTGGAAAGAGAGAGTAAGGTGCATGAAGGAAATTGCAAGTGGTTAAAAGTACTACTCATTTTACTTTGAAAAATCCCTAATGATTTTAAGTAATCTGTGTCAAATCACCTCAGTTTCCCTTGACACTTGCACGTAATCGGGCCGTTCAATCATCTCATGCAATTCCGTGACCATTTTTTGCCCAGCCATCTTCAGTAACCTAGAACGATCAAAATACAGCTCATATGACATGACATGGCAGAAAAAAAGCACCCGAAATTCGGAATTCTATGAATCAAAGAATGATACGATTACGAAACACCTACCTGTTTGCTTTTTTACCCATCCAAAGGAAAATATCGGAAGTGCAGTCAAGAATGTAAACACATTTTGTGTTCAACAGTTCCTAAAATGCCTTTATTAAGGTTCGTTATCCATAGAACGCTTAAACTCAAAGCTAACCTGTTTCGCAACACCTTTAGGGAGATCAACCTGGGGTAACTCAAGAAATCCCATACCGATATTCACCTGTAATACGTTTTCTGCTGCTCTGAAATATTGTTAAGCCAAAAAACGCTGCACCTGGTAGAGTCGTTTTCTCTCAGGAACAAAATTTTCCGGTACATGTTCAACGATGGCCTCATCAGGGCGATTAGGCGATCCACAGAATGCCATCCAGAACTCTTCCGGTAC